TTTAAAAATATGGTGCTATCAACATTATAGCATACATAATTTAGTTTTTTTATATATTTAAAGGTTTTTCTAAGCAATAAATTACTTAAATAAACTCTGCACATTTTTTTAATTCGTATATAAAATACACTTCTAATTTAATAAAAATAAAAGAAAACTAAAAAAGTTTAAATGCTTAAATAACCTGACTAGAAAAAAATTTTAAAATAGCATTCTCGCGTAAAAAAATAGAGAGTAACTCAATGCAATCTGTTATTTCTTCTACTACCCGGTCTTCTATAATTGTATCGATAAATTTTTGTAAAAACAGGACTCCTCCAAAGTAATTAGTATTTTTTACTCTTCTTAATATGCCACAAAAAATATTTCTGTTAAGTTGACAAATATGACGCAGTTCGGCAATATATTCTTTATAACTAGAAAGAAATCTTAGCATATCTTTTATTGTGTATAAAATCATTTGTTTAGTCAGTTTACTACTTTTATTTGTACAAAAAAGAATTGTCTCCAATGACGCAATCTTTGATGAATAAATCCATTTATCTGACTCAAATATCAAAACCTTTCTTAATAGTTCAACAAAATTATACATAGTTACGTTTTCTAATTTATCAATAAAAACAATGGAGTTTGTAATTAACCTTTCGTAGAAAAAGCAATTATAGTATGCTTTTCCAAATTCTACAGATCTGCTCCTCATCATTTTATTCCATACAAGTATTGATACAATAGAAGAGTTTAGATCGGAAAAAAAGCGAAGTTTTTCACTGTACGTTAACTTTATAAATGGCTTATTTTTTCTTACAAACATACTTCTCTGTTCAAAAACAGGTATTACACGATTCTCATAATTGTTATAATGCGAATTTGTACTACAAAATATTTTAAAAAAACAAAACACAAACATAAGGGCTTTTAATTTATTTTTAAAAAAGCAAAAAACCCAATTTAAATTAAAAAAATCATGTTGATTTGTGTAAGTCTTAGAAGTTATTTAAAAATAACTCAGAAACTATTAATGATCAAAAAAAAATAATTAACAAATGAGATAAAAAGTATAGAAATTATTTATATTTTAACTTTCTTAGCTTTAGTTATTAAAAAATTAGTATTTTTAAAACTTTTATACTTTCTTTAAAATATTTATATTTAGAGTAAACAGTATAATCTTCTTATTTTAAATATATATTTGGCAGTACTTCTGTTATCTAAATCAAACCTTATTTAATTACTGATTTTTGCTTTCTTTAAATTAATTTATTTTATAAAAAGAAAGATAATTTTGCAACTTAAATCTATATTTAAGTATTTAAAAATTATTTAAAACTAAGTAAAATTCAAAAATATATGATTGTACAAAGTAAACTATGATATTATTGATGACGATTTAAAACCTTTTTTAATTAAAAAAACCGATGCAATTATGGTACCTCTTCTTAAATAATATTAAGATAGCAACAGAATGTACACTGATGATTACAGCGCTAATCGTTTTTGATAATATATTTTCCGCCATACTTAATACAAAAATTTAATTTTAAGTAATGTATGGCTAGAAGTAAATCACAATTTCGCCGTAATAAAAAAAACAATAATTTAACTTTTTTTTAAACTAAAAATTATTTCTAACTGTTCATGAAAATCGTAAAAAAGAAGCCATTTTTTTCAATTTTGCAACATTATAAGTATAATTAAACTACAAAAGTTCATTTAGTAGGACCTTATAAATTGCTCTCTCAAGGCGTTTATGCATGTTGATACTTCTAACCTTAGCTTTCAATACTTCCGGTTCTTTATTTAAATATAAAATCTGTAATTTGTCAACAAACCGAAACAAAGTTGGATATTTACTTACGATTCTTTTGTTAAAAAATATTTAAATTCTTCTGCAAGATTATTTGTAAGCGGTATATTAGATGTAATTCGGCCATATATATCTAAATTTACAAAAAAATCTTATTAAATTCATCTTCTTTCAACTTAAGTTAAAAAAGTAATTAATTTTTATAAAATATAGAAATTATATCGATATCTAGATTTGATAACTACCAAACCAATTATGCATTAAATATACAACCCAAATGCTTAATCACTTATAAATTTTGTTTTAATTCTTTAGCAAAAGGATTTTATAAACTGCTTGAGAATAATAAAACAAATAAATTTTTATTCTACAAGGCGGAAAAATTGCTCTAGATGCATTTATAATCGCTTATTCAAAATTTATAATTAAATCATTTACACGTAAATGTGAAAGGTTACGTTAAATTATTCGAAATACTTCCTTATAACAACTTTCCCCTTTATTTAGCAGTAAAGCATAGATTAAAGAAAAAACTTGCCATTTGTATTTATATGTATTATAAAGAGTTGATAAAGATGAGCTAAACAAATTTTAAATGTACAATCAGCCGAAAACAAAAGAGTAATTTAAGCCTTTTCAACAGCTTTATTGTTCTAAAAAATAATAAGTCTTTGTTTCCACCTTTAAAGCTACCATATTGTAAAAACTTTTAATTAGATAATGTAGTTATCAATTAAATGGGAATATCAAAATTTGCTTCAAGTTATTAGTTTGTCAGTTTAGAAATTTTTCTTCTTATGTTTTGTTTAATACCACGAATGAATTCAAAATTAATTTTTTCTACATTTGTTTTAAAAAAAGAAATATTTTTGTTTGCCTATTTATCCTACAAGTAAAGATTTTTTTGATTTATTAGGACAATTTTGCACTACAACTTCTTAAATTTTACAGCTTTTTGAAGCCTAGACCTTTAATTATTTTTTTCTGTTTCAAAAAAAAGATATTATAACTTTTGGCTCAAAATTTACAATTTCTCCCGCCAAATATTTTTTTATATTTTATAAAATTAACCCTGTATGTAATTGCTTTAAAAAGCAAAATTGAAATTATTTTACTTTCTAACTAAGAAATGCCTCGAGTCAAAATCGTAAGAAAATTTAAGATTTCACAAAGTACAGTATCTAAAATTGTAAAAAATATGAAAAAAAAGCACGGTTGAATGATCCAGAGGGTGTGGTAGGAAAAAGAGGTTACAAGCTAATGATGTTACAGCTTTACTTAAAATTAATAAAAAAACCCAAAACATCATTAAGAAAACTATCTATTGCTTTGTAAGCGAAGATCAATCAGAGGGTTTGTTATTCAACTACAAAAAGGACACTTAATGATTATAATATTAGAGCTTTTACTCCAATAAAAAAACCACTCCTTTCAAAAAAAAACATTTTGTGCCGGTTCTAGAAAAGTAGATAATTTTTACTACTATTAGATAATGAGAAAAAGGAGATAGTTTTTTCAGATGAGGGCAAGTTCAACCCTTTGGCGCTGATGGTAAAGTTTTTGTTTGGCGTGTAGTCGATGCAGACCATTAGACATGTAATTTGTCTGCGTCTGTAAAGCATGGTGAAAGGTCGGTAATGGTATGGGGATGTTTTTCATACTTTGATGCAGGAAAGCTTGTTTTTATTAAAGGTAAAGTGAAATCTGAATACTATGTGAATATTTTATCTGATAATTTACCTGATTCGGCTAGATTAATGGATCTGCAAGATTACATTTTTCAACAAGACAATGATCCCAAGCATACTGCAAAGCTGTATTCAAGTCAAAACAATTAAAACTTCTTTTCTTGCCTGCTCAATCTTTAGATTTAACTCCAATTGAGACACTTTGGGCTATTATAAAGCAGAAATTGTCACAATATCGCCTTAAAAGTTTAAATAAATTGAAAGAAATAATAGTACGTGAATGGCAAAATTTAATTAGAATTGTGTCAAAAATTGGTTTTAAGCTATTACAAAAGATCTTTAGCATGTTTTAGAGCAAAATGAAATCATACTAAGTATTAAAATAAAAATATTCCCTTTTTTTAAAACAATTTTTTTTAGATTTATCATTTAATGTAAAACAAAAAAAACCAAATACGCTGTAAAAACATACATTTAAAAATTTTACAGTTGAAAATAAACATTTTTACCATAACCTGACTTAGCTTGCATGCAGCACCGAAGAATATTCCTTTTTTTGAAACATACTGTATGTCATCTAAACTTACTTAATTTTTTGATATCGCTTCAATAAAAAGCAAGTTTTTTAAGCGAAATCAATATAAATGTTTTGAAGAATATTTAATGCTCTCATAAAAGAAACAATTATGGGTTCACGAGACTAGAGCTTAAATCTATTGTTAATCAATTCGTATGTACTTAAATTTATGCGAACCTTTCCTGAACAACTTTTTTTCTATAACAATACCACACAACTTCATTTTTGTTTTTCTTTTTTATAGTATTTAAAGCCTTTTGCTATCATACTTGGCTTATTTTTTTTTATTTGTCAAAATATAGCTAATATCCCGTTTTACGATTAAATTTTTTAGATCGTCGAAATTTATTTTTTTTATTTTTATTTTAACGGAATTCATGCAAAACCTTTAGTTATTTATGCATTAAACTTTTTTGGCATAACTTTTAACGTGGCTAATATTTAAGTTTATTTTTAATAAAAGAAGCTTTTGTATCAAAGCCAATTTTTTAAGTTAGTAATTTATCAAATCATTCTCTGTTTATATATTTATGTATATGAGTTTAGACTATGTATTTAAGTTGTAGGTCAATTTTTTATAATTGTCGCATAAATAATTTTATATAACAAAATTCACATTACTTTCGCGCAAAATATTTTAAATTAAAAAGTATTTCTAAAGCATTATTTTACAATTGTTTTTTTAATTTTAAAATGTTTATGATGTAAACTTAAGACTAATTAGACCCCTGTATTACGATAAATAAAGTTAAAAACAACTTATTGTGTTAATAAAATATTAAAATTATGCTTGAAGTAGTGTAAGATCAATTTAATATAAATAATACTGTTTATACAAATTTGTTTTAAAAAAGTATTTTTGAAATCTATACGTTAAAAATATAATACATTTCTTTTTAATAGAAATTAAATTAATACTTATGTATTGCTTTTATACACACCAAAAATTTAAATGTTTTATAGTAATGTACAAAATCAATAGTCAAACACTTATCTTTAAACCTATGAATCTAATACATTTATACCGGCATTCATAAAAAAAATTATACGTCATAATCTTTAATTGATTTACACGCAATGTCGTATTTAAATAGGCATAATAATTAAAATATGGTTATTTTTATATAAGAATTAGATCTTTATTAATTTAACAAATAAATTAAATTTTAGAATACATTTAAATTAATAATTTATACAATACATTAAATAAAAACAATGCTTATACATAGTTTTAAAATTCAATTAGTATTTGATATTATTTATTTTTTTAATTATGACGAAAAAAAATAATTATAATCTTTATAGACTTTAGATAATTATTTTAAATTTTATAAGATTAAATTTTAAAAGGTACATTATCGATATGAAAATTTTATACTATTTTGTTACAGATTTGTGATGTTAGTTACTTTACATAAAATACAATATTACAAAAAAATAAATTACATAACAATTTAATTCATTGTTTTTTTCGGTTTCACGTTTTCATTTAAAAATTTTACAAGCGAATAATACGCCGCGCCGATAAATGTTAGACCTTCCTCGTAGTGTATTTTTATTTCTACATCGAGACCACAAATTTCTTTTGCATAATTTTGAATCATTTTTAAAAGAGCTTGTCTTTCACAATCATCGCTATATCCTGATCCATTTAATAAAATACATATTTTATTTGCTTTAATAACATTTATAGAACCACATACTAACATTGACATTAATTGTCTCGATCTATAAATCAATTTTTGAAGAATAATTTTGTGTTCGTCGTCATCATCTTTTTGAAGTATATGTTTTACACAATCACCTTCAATTTCTATTAAATTTAGGCTTCTGGTCTTAATAATCTGATTAATAAGGCCACATTTATAGCCATTTCCTATTAATATATCCATTAAATTATATTTCTTTTGTAAACTGTTTATAAAATCCGTTTCTTCATCTGTAAGTGCAAGACTTTTAGGAACAAAAGAACCCCACTCAGCGTTGTAAACATATTCTTTATCCTCGCATTTAATTATAAATGAACCATTTGTCCCAGTTCCTAAAATAATGCCTATTGCAATGTCATCTAGTATCACTTTTGATGATAAAAACGTAGCTACAGAATCATTTAAAACACAATTCACAAGAAGTCCAGTAGAATCTACAGTTGAATCTAAGGATGTTAAATTATCAAATAATTTATTTTTTATTGCATGATTTAAAGTCTCTTTAAGATCTGATTTCAAAGTTTCTTCAAATTCAAAGCACCAATGTTTTGCTAAAGCCATCGGCATAGACTTTCCACCCTTATATTTTATAGGATATGAAAATATTAAACTAGACAGATCTGTCTTTATATCATTATTGAGCATGTATTCTACAAACTTGTCTGATACCCAGTCGTACCAGAAGATTTGTTCATTTTTTGATTCAATAGGATATTCGAAATTTTTAACAGAAGTTGTTTCAGTTTTTAATTTTCCATCTACTACTTTTATATTTATAACAGCTATCTTGAAAAAGCTACCTCCCACGTCTAAAATAGCTATATTGAATTCGCATTTTTTGATATCTACGTTAAGTGGAATGTCCTCGACTAAAGTTTGTTTAATGTCATCACAAATGATCATATTATTTATGTTTTCTGTTAGATGCAACTGATACTCATAATATACATTATATAATGTATCTTTAGTGTAACCTGGTACATCATACAAACTAGACATTGTAACTAGAGAGGTATAAAAAAACAGAAAAAAGTTCATGCCCTTGAATAAACTGATTTATTTATAGTAAAAAAAAACAAACAAATGTTTATGTCATTTTGTTTATACAAAATCAAGCATAACTGATAATTCGATATTATCTAAATATAGAAAAAAATATTGTTTAACACAAATGTAAACTTATCAATAACGATCAAAAGTTTGTTTATTTAATGACACCAAGATTAACTTTTTGTAGCCTAGTCATTCAAACACATTTAGTTATCTTGAAATTTTAAATAAATGTTATAATTTTTTCTTAAAAATTTAGTTATCTCTAAGTTTAATTTATTATAAAATTTCTAAACAAAGTCTTTTTAAATCTATGATAGTAATCCAAAAACAAAAAAATAGTAAACTTTATGTTTAGATAAATATGTGTTTAATACAAGTTTTTAGCTATTCTTTATGCTTTTGTATATACTTGAAATTTCTTAATTTTTCATTTAGATCTCAAACATTGTAAAGTTTTGTACATTATTTATTTTTTGCATAATTATTGTAAGCTATTTGCAACAAAAAACAATAAAATTTATTTATTTTTATGACACATTTTGCTACACACCACATTAAATTACAGATATTATGACTCTAGACTTATTTTCTGATATTGCATTAATTATACAATTTTTTTATACTTTTTAATTAAAACCAAAATCGTTTAATTAAACTTTAAAAAAATACTTCACTTGAAATTATAAAATTTAATAAATCACAATTTGTTGTCATTCCAAAATAATTGAACTTCTCCTGTCCCTATTCCTATATTCTTACCTAATATTATAGATTCGCTCACCCCCTTAACTTCATCAGATCGACTTCGTATTGCAGCCTCGAACAAATGCTCACTAGTTTGCTCAAATGAAGCTAACATAAGTGTACTACATGACATCTTTGATATACCAAACCTAGTAATTCCTAGCACTTCGCCTTTATAAGTCATTGTATCTGCTAATAACATTACATGTCTAGGATCAATTTTAATGCCATGCTTCCCCACAACGTATTCAATCTCACTAATAATATGCGCACGAGCAGCCTCGATTCCTAATACTTCTTGAATCTCTAAAATAGCATTACTAGTCGTAGTTGTATAATCAACACCTTTAAGTCCTAATATTGACTGCAAACCGTATCCTTCAATTATACATTTAAACATTCCTTTGTCATTGTGAATTAAAACTTTATTAACTGAAGATAATCCATTTATCTTTGTATTCATAATCTTCTTTTTTAATTTTTGTAAATTGTAAATAGCATGATTTATACTATTTTTCAAATTAACTCGCAATGTATCTTCATTTATAATAGTAATTTGTTCTGTTATATTTAAATTCTGTTTTATAGATTTCATATCTATTTGTAAACGTAATTTATTTATAAGATTTAAGTCAATTTTAAAATCTATAAATATTCCATCTTTACAAACCGAGTCTGTGACATGATTACAAATGTCTTTAAATAACACTTTTAAGACTCTTCCTTTTACAATTTGTGCATTAAGTAAATCATTTTTATCTAAGGATACATTTATAATGGGTGTATTAATATTTACAACTGCATTGATAATTTCTATTAATCTAGGAACTCCTAATGTAATATTCATACTAGCTACACCGGCAAAATGAAACGTTTTAAGTGTCATCTGTGTACCAGGTTCACCAATACTCTGTCCAGCAATAGCACCGACTGCCGTACCAGGCTCTATTAAACAGTTTTTAATTTTTTGTTTTATTAAATCAAAAAACAAATTAAAAAATTCTCTGGTATAAAAAATCCTAATAAATCTTCCATCACAATAAATTTTGTTATCAGATTTTAATCTAAAAAAATCTACTATAGAATCAATAAAATTCTGATTTAAAATACTAAGACCATATTGCCGAATAAATAAATCTTGTCTTAAATCATTACAATATGACATAACCATATTCTCTATAGTATCTAGAGAATGTAGAGAAATTTCACATAAATTTTTATATTCTTCCAATTTTGTTTCTACAGCAATGTAAACTTTTTCAAGGTCTATAAAATCATCACATTCCATAATAATTGGATCAATACCATCATCACCATATTTAAATTGTATAATCTCATTAAATGAGGATCTTACACTATAATCATATTTTACATTTAAATCTTCTAATGCTTTCATAAGCCTTCTCTGCGTGTATCCCGTCTCGGCAGTCTTAACAGCTGTATCAACCAAACCTTCCCTACCACTTACAGCGTGAAAAAAGAACTCCGTTGGTGTCATTCCTGTAAAAAATGAATTTTCTACAAATCCTTTTGACTCTGGTGTTATGCTAAATTTAGCAAAATGGGGAAGTGTACGATTTAACATACCATTCGGTATACGTTTTCCACTTATTATTTGCTGTCCTACACAGGCTATCATTTGTGAAACATTAATTTTAGAACCTTTACTACCACATGCTTGCATAATAATTGGAGAATTGTAATAACTTAGTTCATTTATACAAATTGACCCACACTCCTCCCTAATTTTATTTAATGTAAAAGAAATTTCCATTTCTGCCGTTTCTTTGCTTTTTTCATCATTTTCTTTTATTATTTCTTTACACTTTTCATATCCTTTATGCACTACTTCTGTCTTCTTTTTCTGTAATAATGAACCGGGTAATACATCAACAAGGCCAATACTAAACCCTACTTCTCCTAAATAACGAGAAGCAATTCTCGTTATATTAAACATCATTGCAGATGCAGATAGTTTATCAATTTTTAATAATTCATAAAGTAAACTATTACATTTTGATTCTCCACCTACAATATTTTTATCAATGCGACCGAACATATAATTACCGTTTTTAATAACAAAAAACCCGTCATTTACATGCCATAAATTTGTAAATGATCTATTTTTAGTTTTTAAATTAAGTTTAAAAACATCAGATTTCTTTTTTAAACTGCTATGAATCATAGCTTCTACTAATTGCTTTCCTGTAAATAATTCAATAGGTTGTACAATAGCTGGTGTTATTTTTATTCTTGTTTCACAAAAACATGACAAAAGTTGACCAAATTTTTGGCGATTAAAAAATGTATCTCTTGAAGTAATAAGATATAAAGCTGTAATAAAATCTTGAGTGGCCGCAATCAAAGGCTCTCCATGTCTTGCAGTAACAATGTTTTCTTTTACACCCATTAATTCAATACACTCCGAAATAGCTTCTACTGTTTGTGGTACATGAATATTCATTTCATCGCCGTCAAAATCCGCATTATAGGGTGCACACACGCATTCGTTAAATCGTAAAGTTTTATTTTTATGAATATTTACAAAATGGGACATAATGCTCATTCTATGTAAAGAAGGTTGTCTATTAAATAAAACTACATCACCATTTACTAAATGTCTTTCCACTACATCACCTTCATTTAATTCTTCATCTCTACCACCATAAAGTAAAAACTTTTTATATTTAGAGCCTATGACATAGTTGGCTCCTGGATAACTTTTTGGTCCATTTTTAACTAAATTTTGCAATCTTGATTTATTAAATTTGGTAACCTTTTCTGGAATCGTTAATATTTTCGCCATAAATTCTGGTACATCTACTTGATCAATAGAAAGATTAGGATTTGGTGAAATAACCGTTCTACCACTAAAATCCACACGTTTACCACTTAAATTACATCTAAATCTTCCACTTTTGCCTTTTAATCTTTGTACAATACCTTTAATTGGTTGTGATTGCACATTTATTTGTGGTAAATCGGAATTAACCATTAAAGCACACTGAAGTTGTAATGATTCCCAATCATCATTAATTATATTTATAGAATTGCCCCTATCAATACTTTCTTTTAATACCTCATTCGTATGAATAATTTCTGATATTTTAATAGTAAGATCATCTTCATTTGTACTGTCTTTTTCTGCCATTCCAACACTCGGTCTTATGCACGCCGGCGGAACGATAATATTTTGAATGATAAATTTTACAGGAGAATCCTCTAAACCAAGAAATTCGTAATCCTCAGATTTTATCAGTGAAAATATATTAAGTGCCATTTGCGGATTTATATCTATGCACTTCTTAAAAGTATTTTTTTTATCTCGTCTCGCTTTAGAATTCGTTGTATTTTTATTTTCACTTGTAGCTCCTAAATCAAACCCTGTTATTTCTTCTGTCCGTAATTTATTAGTATCGCTATTTTTCAATTCTACAACTTCAATTTCGTGCAAAATTTTAAATCCTGTACCTTTTTTTATTGTTCCATTATAAGCGTGACATAATACACATTTTGTCATTTTTTTACATTCTAAAACTATTTTCCTTTGTATCAACACCAAATCATTTCTATTTGCTGTCTCTCTAATCATATCCTTGTATAAAATTTTCTTTTTATCAGAAAGAAGCAATCTTCCACATGTCTTACACACACAAGATAAAATAGATAAAGTTTGCTTAATTAGACCTATATTAAAAACAGGAAGTACTAGTTTTACATTTCCAAAATGCCCTAAACAATTAATTATATTTTCTCCACACGTAAAACACGTATCCTTTTTATTGCTTATACCAAGTCTTCTATCTAAAGGCCCATTTGGCATTGGCAACTTTGTAGTTGCATCATAAAGATCTTTAGTAGTTAGTGTATGCACCGATATTTTTTCAATTTCTTCTGAAGATAATAAACTAAATGATATTTTATTTATTTTATTTTTTACTAAAAATTTATCTTTGTTCATGGGCTTAGAAATATCACATTTTTACTTTTATGCAGACACTAAATATTTATAAAAAATTATTGCAAAATTTTATTAAAAGTTGTATAAAAAATTATTGCAAAATTTTATAAAAAGTTGTATCTTAATTTTAAAATATTTTATAATTTTTTAAGACTTTAAATTTGTAAAATCTTAAACCCCATGACTGAAAAAGTGCAATTAAATTTAGAACGCATGATTCCAGAATTAGAAGAATATAAAAATAGGGGAGTGTTTTCTGCAGGAGAATTACAAAAAATAATAACAACAAGAAAAAAACATGAATTTAGATTGCAAAGATTTGATAAAAAACTGTTAGATATATTACGATATATAGAAAGTGAAACTACACTTGAAAGCATTCGAGATAAAAGAATTAAAAAGAAAAAACTTTCTTATTGCTATTACGATAAAAGAATTTCGGAAAAAATAGTTAAATTGTATAAAGAAGCATTGTATAGATTTAATGATAAAAAAATAATAGTTAAGTTTACTGATTACGCTATTAAAAAAGGGCTACATGCCGATTTAAAAGATGTTTATGCTACTTATTGCTCAAAAAATTTGGGAGATGCGGAGCTGTGGATTTTCTGTGCTATAAAATTGTATGAAATTGACGATATTGATTCTTCGAGAGCTATGTTTTTAAAGGGCATTCGGCTTAATCCTGAATATCACAGACTTAGAATAGAGTTTTTTAGAATGGAAGCCTTTTCTATTTTAAAAATTTTAGAGACCAATAAAAAGTTGGGTATTGAAGATGACAACGCTGAAGATATGACTTTTATTGCTTATAATATTTATTTAGATACACTTGAAATATGTGAAAATAAGAAAGTTATTGCTGAAATGACAGAAATATCTAAATGCGTAGAAGAATTGCACTGTAAAATTACATCTACAGTTTATAAGAAATGTTAATAAATTATTAATATATTTTACTTTTATAAATGTAAACTATAGAACTTTTTATTGGATTTTGTTTTTAAATACCAATTCGTGCATCCTTTTTATTTTTTAGAAAATCAAATGTTGTAACACTCACTATTTTATTTGACTTTAATTTAGTTTTTAAAGAATTGTTCTCTGTTCTACAAAAATATATAAACAACTACAAGTATAATTTAAAATCTATAGTTCTAGAAAAGATTTCTTTTTTTAATTTAGATTTTTGATTTTTTAAAGGTAATTAACTTTTTAAAAATTTAAATTTTTTAGAAATTTATTTTTTTACTTTTCTTGCAATTATTTAACAAGATTTATATCCATTTAATTAATTTAAAATATCAATACAATTCAAAGTGCAAAACAATAACTTTTTGTCAACGAAAACATAAAAGCAAGTATTCAATTCTGCTCTTGTATTGGATGCAAGATATATAATGCTGAAGTTTGATTTGCTGTGCAACCATTCCTTAGTCGTTTATATAAATAATTTTACTAATGGCAGCGAAAAATGCATTATAAGAAATAACAATAAATAATGTAAAAATTGATAAATTAATAAAAAAATGACATTTTAAAAATATCAGATTGTTGATATATATGACGCACTTGTTGTTAAAAATTGGTTGTTTAATTAACTAAACAATTAATCAATTTCCCCTTAATGGACACAAAGGTAGATTTAATATGGAAAAAGCTTACTGTTAAAACAAATGATACTTTTATTTTAGATGAATGTTCAGGAAAAGCTTACAACTCTTCAATAACCGTAGTTGTTGGTGGAACCGGTTCTGGTAAATCTGTTTTATTTGAAATTTTGGCCGGAAGGTTAAATAATGATTTGATTATAAGCGGAGATGTTCGTATTGATGATAATAATAGAGATAGAAAAAATATACACACCTCATCATTAAAAACTGGAAGTATTGTAGTACTAATAGATGAAACATTTTACTTTCTAGAAAAACAGACAGTGTGGGAAACAATATATTTTGCAGTTCACTTTTTTAACATAAACGAACCAGATTCTATATTAAAAGAAAAGACGCAATTTATTATATCTACTCTTGATCTCAATAAAAAATCTGGTCAAATGCTCTTTGAATTGTCTCAGGGAGAAAAAAAACTTGTTTATATTGGTACCGTATTGGCAGAAGATCCCTCTATAATACTAATTGATGACCCATTTGATTATCTTGATAAATGGCATGTAACTAGAATTTTCACGCTTTTGAAGAAATTAACAAAAAGATCCAAAACTATTCTAATAGCAATTAGTGCACCATATGAAGAGGTACTAAAACGATGCGATAAAATATTTATTCTTGCGAACCATTCGTTTATATTTGAGGGAACATATCCTCAGTACAGAAAATTTTATAGCGAGACGGGAATGGATCCTAACGATTTTGTTAATGAATTGGTAACTATTGATTATAGCTCTGAAGGTTCTAGAATAAAAGATACACAAAAAATAAGAGAATTAAAACATAAATGGTATACAAATAATCCTATTAACGAAGATTTGACCGAATATCAAATTATAAAATACACAGAACAAAAAAAAAGTTTTAAAAAAATATCATTGATAATGAAACGACATCTGCAAATCTTTACCCGTTCTAAAGATGCTTATATGACACTTGTATTGCAAAAATTAATTTTTTTTATTATTTCAATTATTGCTTACCCGATAATAGGATACACACAGGAAGATATACAAACAAGATATGGGCTTATAAGCTTTTTGTTATTAAATAATATAGATAGATCATTAAGTATAGTTTTGTCTTCAGTCTCAATTTCTAGATTTGCTTCGAGAAGGGAGATAATTTTTGGGTTGTACACAAGTACTGAGGCGTACATAGCTGAATATATATTCGACTTTTTATTAATTTACTTTGCTTCTGTATTATATATGATTCCAGTATATTGGATAGCGCAGGTAAATAATAATTTTTATCGTTTTTCTCTGTTTCTAATTAATCATTTTTTTTTAACAAATTTTACAGTTGCTTATGCGATATTTGTAAATGTAGCAACATGTACACCTAGGGAAGCTTCTATGTTTGGAGCACTTGGACTGCTCTTTTTTTCTGCTTTCAGCGGAATTTTTATAAATGTAGAAACACTTCATAATTTTGCTTATTGGATAACGTGGATTTCGCCGCTTTATTATGCTTTTGAGTTTAATCTTCAAGTGTCGCTTTCTAATTTACGCTTTGTGTGTGATTCCGAATCGTGCTATAAAACAGGAAAAGAAGCTTTAGAAGACATGAAGCTGATAAGAATAGATAAATTTATATCTTTGGCAATATTCATTATGTTTATAGTATTTTTTATCTTTTTAGGTGTAATTGTTATGGCTATTAAATTCAAGCCACGAATGAAGAATGAAAAGATCAATATTTTTCAATACTTCCTTGTAAACTGAATAAATTTTTTTTATGTCGATTGGCTGCAAATTTTAATAGTACAGTAATATGTAAAAAGTGTGACAAAAAGTTTTGAAAAACACCTAAAATTTATGTAAACTTTATTCTTTTTTGGATTTTCTAGAAAATTGTAACAAGTTGTTTTTATTTAATATTACAGTTAAATATTCTTTTATGATTTAAAACAGTCATTGATGTCAAAAAAAGTACAAAAATAACTTTAAATTAGTTATTATAAGCTATTTAACTTTTTTTACAAGGCAGGACTTTAAATTACAAGACTGTCTTGCCCCGAAGAGTAGCTACTAAACTTGTAATGCTTTCCAATAAAACTATTTATTACATAACGATGTCTAAGGCCAGATAGCTTTCTAATACTCTTCTTATTTTCTTCACGCATCATTTTAAAATTATTTTTCTTTAAATAGTAATTTCTAAATATTGCTTCATTCCAAAACACTGTTTCAGACCATCAGTTTTGTTTTGGAAATCCAAAAACAATTATTTGTCAAAAAACGGCATGACAAAGACTTAGAAAAAAGATGGAATTAACATAATTGTTTTATTTTATACAAATACATTTTATTGAAAAATCTTTACAAAGGATATAATTTTAAAATTTTTTTACCCTTAACTTGCTTTATGACAAAGTTGCTATTTTTTATGTTCTAATTTCTGTTAACAATATTTGTTTAAATTGCTATTTTATGAAAGTTTACAATATACAAATTTGGTTAAAAATGCTTGTTATGTGTTTTAAAATAAAGTGTAAAATGTGACATTTTGATCAATTACAAAAAATCTATATTACCTTTGTTTATAAATGTAAAGTTATTTTGTAAAATAAATAACTACAAAACCATTTAAAATCCAAATTTAATGTATAAAGTTTTATTGTATTTTAAAATATTTAGGGTTAAAAACGATCAAAAAAATACATTTCTTATTTAAAAATTTATAATAATTACTCATGCTTTTTTTCAAACTTAACAAACAGTGGTTTATTTCTAGATCTATAAACTTTTATATCATCCCAATTAAGACACTTTCTTTTTTTCTTATTTAATTTTTTCTTAATTTTAGATGTATCATATACATTTCTATCAATAAATTTATCATTAAATATTTTACTGTTCTTATTTTTTAATCTATAAATCTGCTTATCAATGAAATCTAGCCCTATTTTTTTCATAAAAACAATTTTAAATAAGGGTTCATAAATGGGACATGCAATATTTATTTTTGGATCGGCAGGAAGTGGTAAATCAACTTTTTGTAAAAAGCTTACCGAGCACGGAAAACTAATTCACAGACAAATTAATGTGGTAAATTTAGATCCCGCACAAATTGGAGAAAGTCATGATTACATAATAGACATTAGAGATTACATTACAACAGCAGATATTATGGAAGAATGTGATTTCGGGCCTAATGGTAGTGTCATGATTGCTTTTTCGGAGTTATACAATAATATAGATGTTATAGATGTAGAAGATCTATCAAATGAATACCTTGTTTTTGACTGTCCTGGTCAAATTGAGCTATTTATGCATTCTAACGATTTTCTAAATATTGTAGAATATTTTTCTAAATTTTTTAGAATAGGAATATTATATTTTATAGAGAGTCAAAGTATTAATGATGTAGGTAAATTTCTAGGTAATATTTTGTGTGGTTATATTTCTATGTCAAGGTTTAATGTATTTATGTCTTTCGTTTTAACAAAAGTAGATCTAATTGGCAAAGAAACAGTTGAAGATTTTTTAGAGACTTTGAATGATAAGTGTGACGAAAATTTATTGTATAATAAGATTTTAGATCTGGTTAATATTGATTTTAAGCTTCTTGATTACAGTGATGAAGATAGTATTAATGATTTATTGTATTGGATTGATAACAATTTACAATATTTTGATGATCTAGATGTCCAAAAAGATGTTGAATAAATTTTTAATATTTTTTGTAGTTTAACATATTAATTATATATAAATATTTAAAAGATAGAAGTGCTAATTATTAATAAAGTTTATGATGTATTTGACATTTCTGTTTTTTTTTATTTTAAACAAAACGATGTTACATATTTACAATGTCTAAAAATAAATTTTAAAAGCTTTTCTTGTAATAATTTATACTTTTAGATACCCTTCTAATGAAGAGGTTAGATCCATATAAAATATTACAAGTCACACGAAAATCTAAACCAGAAGAAATAATTACCTCTTTTAAAAAATTAAGATATAAATATCATCCAGATCGGCCGAAGGGAAACAGAGAACTTTATGACCAAGTTATAGAAGCTTTTGAATCAATAAAAAATAATTCACACGAATACATGAACGTTAACGAGTTTATTGAGCGTTATAAAGGCTCTGATGAAGAATATAATGATATTATAAAGGCTTATGAAAAATACAAAGGGGATATGCGCAAAATTATGGATAGTTTAATTTGTACAAATGAAGAAGATGAAGAGAAGATTAGAGACATTTTAACAGAAGAAATTAAAGCAGGGAAAATCAAAAAATATGAAAAATTTGATAAAAAAATGAGAAAACGTAAAAATGAAAGTAAAAAAGCAGAAGAATTGGCTAAAAAAATGGGCATTGATCTTTCATTATCTTTAGAAGATTTACTTAATCGACAAGATAGTAGACAAGAAACTCTTATTAAAAGATTAGAATCAAAATATGGCGATGTAAAAAGACTTAAAAAATAGTAAAGTGAAATTTTCAGAATTGTATTTGGATGGTTTGTATATTTTTATTTAATAGTACTATATTTTTGTAACTGTAAAACTAGATGGTTTATATAATAGATTAAAACTTTTGTATTAATTATTTTTGAATCCTAAGTCAAAAAAAAAATTACAATAGTTAAAAAAATATCTCTAAAATTTTAATTTAATTTTTGGTTACAAGTATTTAGATAATAAGTAATTTTAAATTACAAAACAATCACAAGAAACAAACATATTATTATTATTGTCTTTAAACTCTAGTACTTTTATTGTTAAATACATATAACAACAAAAGACGCGTTCTTTCTAAACAAAAAAATTTAAAAATTAATAATTAAGACTTTGAGTATATCTACGACTAGCATGATTAAAAATTTAGAATTAAAAAAATTTAACGCGACTTAATCTCTTCTTTTCTTCCCTTTAATTTTTTGTACATTTTATAAAAAGTATACGTAAATATTTGGTTGGTTCTAGGTTGAAAAATGAAGTATCGCCTAAAGATTTTTAAAATACTTTAAAAAGTTAATATGGTACTATATAGCATCATTAATAGTTTGCGCTTTTTTTGTATTTTTTTTTAAAATATCATACTAAATAAATATTTACATTTACTACAACTCTATTTAGAAAGTTTTGCTGGATGTAAAAAATATATTTTGTCTTTATATCAATCAAAAATTGTTAATTGTTTTCATAAAAAATGTGAATGATTGCATAATAAGCATCCTTCTCAAGTATAAAGATAAATGAAAACACTACTGTAACAAATTGATACTGCGTTTGATACAATCAGATACTATTAACATTTCAAAGAATTTAGAAATCATATAAACAATAATAAAACCTTTTTTATTGAACTTTATAGTCTTGTTTTGGCTTACAGTTGAATATGTAAAACTAATATTTTGTATTTTTTATAATTTTATAGAAAAAAATAATACATTTTAGTTATATTATTGATCAGATGTTAATTTCATAAATTAATTTCTGCTACAATTATTGTTATACTGTAATTTATTTTAATTTTTTATTTAACATTTTTTTTGCTTTATTAACAACTTTTTATATTTTATTAAATAATTAATTTCTAGGTTGTACACTCTGATCTATAATTTTTATTAAAAAGATATAAAAACATTTTTGTGCTTGTTAAATCACTTAAATTATTGTACCTCAGTTTTAAATACAATATTAATAAAAAAGTTGCATTTAATAATTTATTTTTTTTTCTTTTATACACCTTCTTCTAGATTTAATAAAATCATTGTAAATTATTATTTATAGATGTAAAAGAGGTTGAAATGAGTTAAGACGAGATTCTTAGCGTGTAAAATACTACATAAATTTTTGTACGAAATTAAACTACAAATGAAAAGGTTAGTAAGGTTTAATAATTAATTTAAAGCTTAAAGAATTTTATAAAAATACATAGAAATTGTCGAATGTTAATAATTTTGAATTAAAAGTTCTTTTAGATAACTTTTACCAAAAAATTAATTTTAATGTAAAATTAAATTATAATCGGCAAAACTTTTCCTGAATCAAATATTAAATCAATTAAATGCAATCCGAGATAAATAATAAAAGAAAGGGAAATAATAATGCTTATTGAAAAAAGACCTATTAAAAAATCATCGTCTTCAAAAATTTCTATTATACTGTTGTACATTCTTCTAAAAAAAGATGGTTCGTCGACAACAATAAATCTTATATCTGTAATTATTAAAGTTGCTTCTTCATCTTCTAATGGATCATAATAATCAGCAATATTTTGATTTGTGTTCATTAAAAGGGATAAATCAAAAATTATACAAAAAGCTATAATTGCAAAATATTACAATTTTTTTAATTTCTAGTGTTATTTATTAACGCAATAAAATTATACATTAAAACTTTTGATAATATAACCTTTTTAAAAACAAATAAAAATTTACATGGTTTTTTATATATTTTAAAACTAATGCTATTACATAAGAAAATGTTAAAAATTTCAATTAAATTGCTTGGGATATTAAATTTAGTTGATTTGGTAAATATAATTTTCTAGTTATAATTTAAATCGAACCAACCAAGCTTTAATCGCCAAAAACTACGCTGTATTTAACTAAAAATAGCAAAAGACACTTAATAAACGTAAATTTTTAATAAATAAATTCATTCTGATACAACAATTTTTGAATTATTACAATAATAAATAGCAATATATATTATAGCTATTTGAAATTCGTTGTTTAACATATGTTTAAGAAATATGTCAATTCTACTATGTTAAATATCTAAAATGTCAGTGTAATTCCAAATGATTAATATTAGCATATATAAATTAGGCATTTAAAATAAATGAATTTTTATTTGTTGATTAAAAAAAATTACTATTAAATTGTAAATAATAGATAACTAGATTAATTTTTAAGTAAATAATAATATCTAAAAGAAAATTTACAAAAGTCTTTGTAGTATCCACCACTTTAATTTTATTTCTTTAATATTTAAAAATAAATTTTCTAGAATTTTTTTTATTATAAATAAAATTTTATAAAAGAAGCGCATGAATATTCATAGTAGCAAAAATAATAATGCAGGGTCTACAAAGATAGAACCTAAAAGTAATCAAATCAATAGTATAAAAAAGAGACCTTTTATTATTTCTAAATTGGAACAGTATTTTTGTTTTGGCCACCACACTAGATGTTACACCAGTGTTGTACACACTTTTGTTTTTTAAAAAATTTTATTACAGATAAAACGTACTTTTGTTCACATTTTAGCTTGCCATTTAAAGTTTCTTAATCTTATTACAAAATCTAAATGAATAAGGAATATGAACAAGTTTAAAATATTCAGCCAAAATGAAGAAAAATTTGTCAATTTTTATATATCCTCAACTAAAATTTATTATCCTATATTTTAAAAAAGCTGAACAATGAGAAAAAATATAAAATTAGCAAATACTATAAAAGCGTATGATGAACAGATGATGCTTAAAATGTAATTAAAATTTTAAATATACAGTTTCTTTATGGTAAGATACTTTAGTAAGCTGTGTAAATATAGTTATTATTAATACAAATATACAATATTTAATTTATGTAAAATTAGTACAATCTCAGTCTTGAAAATTGTAAATTTATGTTTAAACTTCATCCCTTTTCCAATTATAGTTAGATTGACAAATATTAGTGTGAAAACAATTGGTGCAACGATTAATAAGTTTAACTTTAAAGATTTTTTAACTAGAATGTAAGGGAAATATGGTCAAAATAACGAGAGTAGATAGGCAAACAATAAAAATTTTGCGCACCATGTGGGCGGAGTATGAGTTTACGGAGCTGTAGAATGATCTACACGTAAAAAGGCGGTCTTGCCCTCTAAAAAGAACAAAAATTTGTTATTACTTACCATAATAAAGTATATCTATATACTATTATTAATTCCGATTGTTCGAAGGCATATTTTGATTGTAATTTTTTTTAAGCATTTGACAGTTAATTACAGAATTGGGTTGATAATCCAATAAATGATGTTCATATAAAGCAATGAAGAAATTGGTACGGAATTAAAAAAAATCCACAAAAAATCAGAATAAGATTTAATTAAGTGTAGCTTTTGCGGTTTATGCTTGATAGAAATAACAAAAATTCATGTTAAGATATAATTGTTTTTTCTGTGGTATACCTTACAATGTTAAATTATATTCTTTAAAAATTAATGTTGTTTAATTAATTTTGCAAACAAATAAAACCACAAATACAAATTTTGTTTCTAAAGGAATCCAGACATGTGAACACCCGGAACTCACAGGCATTAGGGATCAAGGTAAGAAGAAGCCCAAAACTATAAACTAATAATGTAATTGTGATATACAATAACACAATTTTTTATATTTTTTCTATTTATAATAAGTTTTCAAAATTATATTCTAAAATTTTATTTGTTATAAATAAGAAATTTTGAAAGAAGGATACGGATAAATGAAGAAGCGCAAAGTACAATACAATAAAGCATCTACAAAAATGGATACAAGGAGTAATAAACAAGTTTGTTTTATGAATTAAAATTTCATTTTCTCCCTCTTTGAGCAATATTTTCGCTTTGGTCGTCTCACCAGAGGTTACCACAACGACTTATGATCATTCGTGCATAAGTACTACCTGGCTCTATGTTTTTTGTAATTATAGGAAGTTTTTTTTCGGCTTTCCTGTTAGATTTTATATAAGCAAATTTTCAAGAAATTTCCATTTCCGATTCTAAATGCACAGTGCATCTGTTTTATTTTAAAAGAATTTTCTTCGATGACTTCTGGCTTTAAAATTGAAACCCGTTTCATCTACCTGAACCTTTTTCAAGGGTCATCAAACTCAACAGTATCTAAAAATTTTAAAATTATTTTTTTATAGGTTCGCGTATTGTATCCTTATTTTCTAGTATAGAATAGGCTTTGTTACACAGGCCGAATCCATTAAAATAAAAACAAAATTTCCGAAGATAGTTTAAAACTATCAAAAAAATTGTTTCCCTTGTTAAAACATATTTTCTATAGTATACACACGTAGTTGTAACATTTTTATGTAATATCGTCTTTGGCTTTACTATATCCCTCCAAACCCCAATGGAATTGCATTCAGTGCAGATCACTCTCAAAACCAAAAATTCTTAATTCTTCAGTATTCACCTTATAATTACTTTATTGAAATCTTGCAATGTCATATTAAGGTTATAACCAAAAAAAGTTTTATAAATTTTAACGGCAAAAAGAAAACATCCTTTTCCACAATTTCTATACAACTGATCTATTATAGTTACAAACAAGTGAAAGTCATCCTCCTATCTTGGCAGCTATAATAATTATAAACATCGCACGGATTGCCATAAATATAATTTTGTAGACCAAAGAACGGGAGCAACTTAAACACAGTCCCACAGGGGTTAAAAAAATTATAAAAAAAATAGAGCGATATTATTTTATTAAATGTAATTGCAATAATTATTAAAATTTTTTATCTTAAAAATTTTCTTCAAAACTTAAATTCATAACTCTGCGCCTTGTACGAAACTCTATCTTTAAATGGCACCATAAATTTTCAATTTTATTCATATGTTCCCCATTTTCATTTCTAAATCCAATACTATGGTTTACTATTTGATGAACAGAACAAAAATCTACAACTAATGATCTATCGAACGCAAAACCATCTGTTCTTATAATAGATTCTTTTTCAACATAAATATTGGAAAGATTCATCATTTGTTGGCCGACCTGTTTGGAATAATTTTAAGAAAGCAATTATTGCATTCTTCTTCAATTCTTCTCATTAACCATGTTGTATCTGCAACTGCATCTTGTGTTGAAGTAGTATTGGTGATTATCCTACTTCTACTTATTGCACTTTCATTAACTTGGATAATTTTATTGGGTCCGCTTATTTGAAAAAAAATTTAATTTCATTTTTTATTTTCATTAAAATACCATCCTTATAAGAAATATAATTGGCTCAAAAATTTCGCATGTTGAACATACAACTGCGTTACTTAGTCCCAAGACTCAACAATAAATTATCCTAAGCTGAATATGCAAAATCAGCCTTGGTTTATTTAACTCTGTGCTCTTCTTGTTGTTTTCGTTTCTTACCTCCATTAGCACAGTAGAAGCATTTACCTTCTGCATATTTCTTGCTTTATGCATGTTGCATAAAGCCATCACAATTGCACTTGATTGTTCGCAGAAGAACATTAGCTGTGGTTAGATAATTAATTGCACTTTTAATATCTTGAAAGATTGAATCGTATAAATTTCTAATCATCTCTAGAGTTAAAAATTAAAAAAAATCAAGAAATCATTTTTTTTTAATACACTGTCACGCTGAAATAAACTATATAATGTGAATGGGAGAAAATGTTTTTTTTTCAATTTTTTTACCCCTGTGGGACTGTGCTTAAGTAGCACCAAAGTACATATACTCATAACAGAATGTTAAGTCGCATCTGAAAGAATTAAGCCTGAAATTAAAAAACGAAAGGATTGACTAAAAAGAAAAACATTTATTTTTTAACTATATTTTATGTAAAGGAAAGAAATATTTGGGTGAAATAAAGATCTTCTATTTTATTATTTGTGCGTTTTTTTGCATGCCTTTTAAAGTAACCGAGAAAAAATAAGGCGCTTAGAAGATCTTTCACTGTATTTTTTATAAAAAAATTCTGCCACGGATCGTAAGCCGGGACCACCCCGACTTACTGTCTACGGCAGACCTAAAACCCCAAGTCAATTTGAATCTTAACTTCTTCTATGGGAATCGAACAAAGTTGCAATATTGGATATTTTGATTATTATTTGAACATGCTATCAAGCGACCTCTTTGATCTTAATAAAGTTTAAACACATAAAAATTCTATAATTTTTTAAATACTTCAAATAATTCTTATGAGGTCTACTATTTAAAATGCAAGGGGGATTTGGTTGCATCGTAGACATTCTTAAAGGCAAAAATACGACATTAAATGGCAGCAAACATACTAAGTATAGTTTAAAAATGACCGAGTTGTTTATCTTGATAGACAGTTTACTTTATTCAAAAGATTCAGAAAATGGACACAAATAGGAGTTTGTGAAAGGAACAGTGCTTTTTTTGTAAAAATAGAAGTACAAAAGCTGGGCAAGCAGAGTCATTTTGGCCAGAATCGTCTTTATAAGTCCTTCAAGCAGCTTTATTTTTTCATTTCCTAAATGTGTGTTGGGAATGTATGTAGTAAATGTAAAATTCGTTTGTGAGCTTAATCACTTAAGACAAAGAAAAAATTTTGCACTTTTTGGTAGAAAAGCCTTTTAAGAATTAATCGTTGATCTTGTTGATATGAGGACTTGTGCGAATTAAAGCAATGATTTTAGATAAACACTAACAGGCATCATGTATATTCTTAATATACAGTTATTTATGCCCTCAAAAGCAAACTGCTGTCAAAGTTGTTCCATGTCTCATAATGGCTTTAAAAACCTGGTGATTCTTATTTTATTCAGCGCCACTCCATCTTTCTACCCTCTAAAAATAAACTACAGCCAACCCCGGCAAATCGAGACCCCGGAAATTCGAGGCCTCGCCTAATCGAGACATAATAATTTTGCACGAAAAAAATAAGCTTTTTATTGTTGTTTTTGTCTACATTTAAATTTGAGATATCCCCGCCTAATTGAGGCGATGATATGAATTTTCATAGAAATTTTTTTAACTCTTATTATGGCTCAGCATTTATCGGTGAAACAAAAATATGAAATTATTTTATAAAATAAATCTCATACAAACGAGTCATGCACATCTTAAAAATATTTCGACATTAGATTTAAGAAAACTATTGGTAAATCCACTATTGGAAAATCTTAAAATAGAAATTATTTATTTAAGCTCAATTTTTAAGTTTACATAATCCAAATGCTAAACGTATGTCTGTTGGTAAGTTTGAAGATATCAAAAATCCTTTTAAAATATAAATTGATGTGCAGGAATATAGAAATAATCCAATATCTGACGAGATTCTTAAAAAAAAGCCCGAAGATTTTGCAAAGCAATTTTGTATTGAAAATATTAATCTATCAATCGGAACTTTAAGTAGATTTAAAGAACGAAGGGGTTTTATGTCATTTAAGGTTGTAGGAAAAATGGCTGAGAATAATTTTGATTCATTAGAATTCTCCATAGAAGAAATTACAGCGATTTTGAACGATTATGATAAAAAAATATTTTTAATATGGATGAATAAAGATTGTTTTTTCGTATGATGCCTGCCAAAAGTATTTCTATTGCGACTATTAAAGGCTTTAAAAAATTTTTTGATAAGAATTACTTTAGCATTTAATGTGTCTTTAGAAGTGGAAAAGCTGATGCCGTTGGTCATAGGAAATGCTGAAAGGCCGAGATCTCTTAACAATTTTAATACCCACCAGTATGTGAATTATACACATTCAAAGAAATGTTGGATAACAAGCTCTATTTTTAATATTTACCTCAGTAACCTTAATAAAAATATAAAATCAAAGAATTGTAAAATATTACTGCTTGTTGATAACTGTCCTGCTCATAAAGTCTCTTTTTTGTATAGTAACGTAAAAGGTGTTTTTTTGCCATAAAATACTACAGGAGTAATAAAACCCCTTGATTTAGGAATCATAAGATTTTTTAAATTTAAATTTTGAAAAAAATTGATTAGGCGCGTAATACACATGATAGATAATAATTCATGTCTGTCTGTTATTGATGCATATAAAAATATTTCAACCAAAGACGCAATCGTTTTTTTAATTTATCTTGGGGTAAAGTTGAACTAAAGACCATTATCCAATGTTTAAAGAAGTCTTCTCTCTTTCACAATAAGTCAGTCAGTCCGATTTTAATGATTCTTATATAATTGAAGATAAAAATGAGAACAAAAAACCAATTGACAAATTGGAGCTAGTCCATAAGTTTTCTATTAAAGATATGATTGATTTTCGGATGAGAAAATAGTCGATTGTGATATTGAAGATGATAGAATTATCGAAATGATAAAAAATAAGGATGAATATCTTATTGATGAAGAAGAAGAATGTATTAACATCAAAGTACATAAATTAAATAAAAATTAGATCTCAGAAACATTAAAACATATAAATATGGCCAGCGATACTCTTCAAAATGATATTAATGTAACAAAATAAGTCTTAAAATCGACTGAAACTATCAAAAAATATTTATAAAAAGAAAATTCTAACTTTAATAATAATTGTAATTTAACAGATTATCTAATAAAAAAAACCAAATAAAATTCAAAATTATTTAATAATTCATATATTTAATATTTTAAGCATTAAACTTTCTTCTAAACAGACAAACTCTCTTAAATGAAGACTTTAAAAATTGAGGTAAAATCATCAGTAAATCGAGACATTTTCGTTAAATCAAGCCATTTTCTTAAAAGCTGAAATTTTTATGCTCATATGTGTTTTGATTTGCCGGGGTTAATTGAACGTTCATTCGGATAAAAATTATACGTAGTTATTTTGAGGAAATGAAAAGGTAAAGTAAAGGTTAGTTTAATTTTTTAACCTTTTTTACAAAAAATCTAAAAAGAAGTTGTGTGTTAAAAAATTTAATGTCGCGATCCAAGTCGTGCAAAAAGTCACACCCACCCAAGACGTTTTTTTCTCACAAATTGTGCACAATTCGATATTTTTCAACCATGCGAATTTCCGCTTTTCAATTAATATTGAAATTGTCTAACGCAGATTCTAATTTGTAATATTTTTGTAAGTAACAAAGCAAGGTTAACTATAACAACCGCTAAGTAAGCTTTTTAAAAGAATTTGAAGATCAAATTGACAGGTAAAGCGTATTGAATAAAGATAGGTTGTAAAAGATTTAAATTCTGCAATATATTTAAAAAGAAACTAAAATTTTAAAATTAAATCTATTTTTTTAATCTTGCAATTATAATAAAAAATACTTTATGAAAATGACCACATATTGCCCGTGGGAATAGAACTGAGATATTATACAGAAACGGAATTAAAAAAAGAATTTTATTTTTTTACGAAAAGTTCAAACAAACTAAGAATATCATTTCTAAAAAGACTATTTTATCACGTAAAAATAATATTTTAATAAGATTATCAGATTTAAATAAGTGAATGAGGATTTTTTGCGTGATTTAGAAAAGATAAATTTGACCTGAAAATATAATCGAATTTTAAAATTTTCCTCTAAAATAACAAAAATAAAAAATTTTTAATTGTTATGTTAAAAGAGGAAAATTTTTTGCTTAAGCTCAAAATTTTAGCTGAATAAAATTTGAAAAAAATTACACAAAAATTTAATTTACATTCTTCCTATGTCTCTAGAACAAAAAAACAAACATGAAAAAAGGAACAGTTATTTGAACTAGAATTAAATTAGATCTTTATTAAATGACAATTATTTGTGTATCTTAACAAGGAAATTAAAAAAGATCTATTAATAGGTTTAACTAAACTGACGGAAAAAGTTTTTAAAGTTAACAAGAAATAGAAAAATGCTGGGGCTGTTCGTAAAGAGTTAGTTGATTTAAGTTATAAAAGCAGAAAAATAGCATGTAAATCACTTTATCAAAAAAAATACTTAAGATAGATTAAGATAACAACTGAATGGTATTACCAAGAGGAAAATAACTTAAAAGTATTATATGAAATGATAAATCTAAAAAATCATTGTTTAAATTGGATAAAAAGCTATTGCCGCCGAAAAGATGGTTTGGGGCATGATATGAAAAATATAGAACCTACTGGAAGCATGATAATGATTTATAATTGTTAAAGAATGTTTTTCAAAAAAAAAGTGTTGTAAATATTTTCATAAATGAAGATAAAATGGATGGTTTAAAATATACAACACTTCTCAATGATAATTTGTTTAAAAGTGCTGTAGATTTAAAATTAAATGATTTTTTATTTTAAAAGGATAATGATTCAAAGCACAAATTACAGCTTACGAACAAAATTTTTAGATTAAAAAATAAAAAATATATTGAATGGCCATCTCAAGCTCCCGATTAAAATCCAATTAAAAATCGTGGTATTTCCTGAAGAAAAAATTTTATGCTTAAAGGTGTAAAAATATTCAAAAATTAAAGATTGTTGTAGTATCAGAGTAAAGTAAAATACTCAAAGAACTGTATTAAAGTTGGAATAAAGACTAAAAAAAAGATATAAAGGAGTAAATTGAGCGAGATCGGGTCATACAAGTTATTAATTAAAAATTCTATTTTTTATTTCCGCCTAAAATTTATTTTTATTAAAATCTCCTTACTATTTAATTATACATTAAAAACAAAACTTAAAATAGATGTTATTATGTATTTAAAAACATATACATTAAATCTTAGTTATAAATGAATAAATACAAATAGGTAAATAAAAAAAAGAAACTTTATTTTAAATTCCGCTACTGTAAATAGACAAAAAGTAACGACATTGTTTTCTTTAAAAAATTATTTTACCTTCTATTTTTTGTAAAGAAACGTATACATATAAAGAGCAAATATTTTGTATTTTTTTAAAAAAATAAAATAGTTAATGTAGCGAAATACACACAAATAATTATTTACTACCGTAAAAATTCGTGTTTATTTCAAGTAATTTTTATGACGTCGTACTAAATCAGGCTTAAACGAAGGTGTGTGCAATACTACCCTCTTAAAATTTAAAAGATATGACAAATACTTAACATATATTTTAATTTTTTTTACTAACCTCCTACTACATTGATTAAAATAGATTGTAAGCCATCAAAATAAGCGGTCCGTAGATTTGTTATTCAATATTTACAATTATTGTAAAATTCGAATATTTTATAAAAATCTGTGGATCACTGTTTATTGAAGAAGTAGAAATCTATTTACAAATTGTTTTTATAAATTTATTGTAAGATATCTTAAAAGAGTGGGACATGAAGTTTTAATTCAATAATTTTTATTTTCAAAGGCCTGATTCCCTCTCTGCTTACTTATCTTTAAAATAAAAAAAAATAGAGCATTTAAGATATTATCCAGAAAGGGGTGTCAATTAAATTATAATAGTTATATGCTCTCTAATGATACATTACAACTGTGCCACCTACCTACAATTGCAGTTCTCTTGGCTTTTTAAAGAATTTGTTTAGTAGTTGTATTAAATATATATTTATATTTACTCTAGCGCCTGCAGTTTCATTTAAGGTAAATTATAAATGGCATTTTGTAAATAGCGCATGATCAATTTTTCAATTTAATTGTTTATATATTATCTGTTTACACAAACCCTTGTCTTAAGAGAAATAATTACTTGACTATTTCAATCTTGTACATTTAGTTTCAATACTTTCATCAAAATTTTTATCAAACTTAATTAATTTATAACTGTTAATGTAATTTTAGCTTAAGCTCATAAGCGAGGCAACATTAAGTCAGACAGGCGCAACATAAACAAACGCAATTCCTGTAAATTCTTTTGAACCCCCAATAATAAAATAATAACTAATAAATTTATTTAAATATATTCCGCCAGCATTAAATTTAAAATACTTTGATCTTTAGTACTAAAAAAATTTGAATCCTTCAAAATTTTTTCACTATTATTAAAATAATCATAAGACAATGTACTAAATGTAAATTGCCATAGTTCTGATTTTTGTTTAAGATCATTTATAAAAGAAATTGGTAGATTTTTTCCAAGAGCGTCACAAAAAAAAGTTGGTAAAGTTTTTTTAAATTTAATAAAAAAATCTTTTCTTCCGCTATGAACAAATCTATATACCAATTTCAAAAATATAACCTGCGATGTTTCACACGGCATAATTTCATCATATTTTAAAGATACACTACATTTTTCTTCTTTTTTATTATATTTAGCAGTCAAAAAATCAGCTTTATCTTTAAATATTATATTTAGCTTTGCTAGAAGCTTAAAACCTTCTGGACGTATATTTATAATGTTGTTATCGTATAACAAATCAGATACGTAAATGTAATTTCCATTCTTATAAAAAACACGCTGAAATGACGAATATTGAAGTACATTATTAGTATCAAAAATGTAATTATTTTCAAAATAAATCTGAATTTTATCATGTTTTATTATTTCAAGACCGTAATATATATCAAATCGGCAAATTGTAATTTGATTCTGAAATCCACTAACAGAAAGACTACTTTTTTTCATTTTTAAAAATAGTATTGAAAATACAACTGGAAACAAAAAATTTATAGACATTTAAAGGGCAAATTTTAAATAATTATAAAATTATTAGGTAAAACCAAGCAACAATAAAAATTTAAATTTAATTTGGCAAGTGCCAAATGCTATCATATTACCAAAGCATGCTTGTAAAACTTTTTTTTAAATATAGTAATTACTAAAGACTTGGATTGTAAATACAAATTAAAACGAGCAGGTTTTAAACAAGATAAATAAAAAATTATGAAATAAATTAATTGATTAAATATACTTTTAAATACTTCTAAACCTTTAATTAAAAAGTATAATGTTTTTTATCTATGCTTAATTTACAAAACCCAATTTTATTTGTTATTTTGACATTCTAATGAATATTTTAAAAGGGTAATATAATTCTAAGGACAAAAGTTATTTTATAAAAAAAAGAGAAATAAATTTGTTTTTTAAAAAGTGAACATATAAAATTTATATTTTAATTCATTGCCAAGCTTTGTTATATTTTATAACTACTAATAGTATTTTAAGAGTGAGAATTAAAGAATGAAGATGGATTGGTGTATAATAATAACTTGATATCCTGTATTACAAGTAATGAGTTCATTGATTTGTTCAAAGCATTCTTTTATGTTTTTAACATTTAGCACAATTAAAAGGCTAATCTTTATCGAAAAATTTTACTAAAAAATATAAAAGGGCTGAAATCAAAAGAAGATGAACCTTAAAAACACCAAGTTAAATAATACACCTACTGCAATAAAAATAGACAAAATCGAAAAAAATATTTTATTAACATTATTGAAACGTATCTATGGGCAAGATACTTAAAAAACATTCCTTATTTTATAATAAAAAATGCTTACGTTTTGAATTATCTAAAAATTTTAAAGATTATTATATTATTAGATTGATATTATTTAAAGGTAACATTTACTATTATCAAAAGCTATAAACAGTATTTACTTTTAAAATATTCAATAGATATCGAAGTCAGTCAACAATACATTGTTTATATTGTTCAATATTTAGATTTAATACTAAAAATAAGTAACTATAGAACTAATTAGTGGTAAATAGATTACTATTATATAAGGTGCTTTCAGAATAAATTTGTAACTTACATTAGCAATTTTTTTTGTAAAAACTTAAAGTAACCCATCTAATATCAATTCTTTAATTTAAAATACAATTTAAATAAAGATAAGTTGTAATAAAACCTTTATTTTTATTACCTTCCACACACCTTCTTCTAAATTTAATTTAAATTATTTTTGATCGATGTCGAAGAGTTCATAGTCAATTTAGAAAATTCTCGATTTATAAAATATCGCATACATTTCTTTACGAAATTAAATTACAAATGAAAAATGTTAGTAAGGTTTCTTAGTTGGTTTTAAGCTTTAACAATTTGCCAAAATGCAGAGAAAAATATACAAATGTAAATAATTTAAAAATAGTTTTTTAAAATCTTTTTAACTAAATAAAAAATTTCAATTTTAAGTATTAATCGGCAAAATTCTTTCTTAATCAAATATAAAGTCAATAAAATGCAATCTTAATAAGATTATAAAAAAAAGATAAATAAAAATGCTCATCAAAAAGACTAATATTAAATTATTAACTACAAAAATTTTTAGTACATTGTCGTAAACCTTTCTACAAAGGGTAGTTCCTTATCAACAACTTCGAAATTTATATCTCTAATTATTATAATATCTTTTCATTTTCCAAAGGATTAAAATAATTTGCAATATTTTGCTGTATGTTCATTAAAAAAGAGATAAATCAAAACTTATACAAAATTTATAATTACAAAATATCGCAATTTTTTAATTTTTAATGATAATAAATTATTTTAATTATCTAAAGAATATCGTTTCTCCACTAATAATTAATCAATAAAATAAACAAATTATTATCATACTAACTTATTAACGCCTTAAAAAAATTAATTAAAAATCAAAACAATTGAAAATTTTTGATAAAATAAATGCATATACACATGTTTTTGTATGTAACTATCCAACTTATGCTATTACAAAAGATGATGTTAAAAATATTAATATATTTTTTGGTTAATTTAGTAAATTAATTTTTTCATTTATAATTTAAATAAACCAACAAAGTTTTAATCGCCAAACATTTCATTTTATTACTAATAGCAAAACACTCTTAATAAACATAAATTAAAAAAGTAAAGATATTTTGATATAACAACCTTTGCATTATTGCAAAAAACAGAATTCTGTATTTATATTTGTAAGAATGAAAGGAACACGTGTAAAAAATCTCATGACATTTTTTAGATAGTTTTGGCGTGTCAATATTTAAATATTATCTAATTATTAAACCTATGTTTTACTTCAACATAATTAATTTGATTTTCGACGTTTAAATGTATGCTTAAGAAAAATATAACTTTTGCCACTACTGTAAAATGGCAGTGTATTTCAAATAATTTAATATTTGCATACATAAATAAGGCATTTTATCTAAAATAAAGAAAAAACTAATAGTTAATTGTAAGACTATAATCAGCATTATTCGGAAAATTTTGTACGGAGCATAATTTTTTACCTTTTTTAAAAAGGGAAGGATTTATGATGGTAAACGAAGAAATACAAAAATTTTATTTTTAAGTAAAATCGTCAAAGCAGATACAAAAATGTCCTCGTTGTGCATTTGACACGTGAGTAGAATGCCTTGATGGAGCTTTTTGTTGTACAAATGGAAAAAGTACAGATTGTTATTTACTATTTAATATAACTCCCTTTTAGAAATCGCACATCTTGACCATATTTTAATGCTTAAAATAATTATTTATGTTTTACAGGTGCTTTTTGTGTTTTGATGGTGCATATATTAGACCGCAGTAAACAACTTTAAAAAATACTTTAAATAGACTGCAGTTTTTTTGTGTTTATGAAAAATATCTTAAGAATGTAGAACAAATTGGAGTGACAACGTTATTTTAGAAATAGATGAGTCAAAGATAGAAAAGAATAAGTGCACACCTGGAGAAAGCTAGTAAAAGAATTTTGATGTTTTGGAATGGTAGAACGCTCTACCGATAAAAAAATAATTTTTATTCTTATTAAAAAATGTAAAAGGGAGACCTTAGTTCTATTATTGTTATAACACGCCAATATTGAATCTACATATACTTAGATATGCGGAAAACTTTTTTTAATCCCGATCTATAATTTTTAAAACACTACTTGATTATTCATTTTATAACTTTTAAAAATCAAGAAACGGGCGTTCATACCATTACAATAAAAGGAAGCTTGTGTTCAATATAGACATCTATACCTGATAGGTGTAGGACAAAAAAGGGTTACTCCTTAATTTCTTACTAGATATATAATTATAGGAAAGAATCTGAATTACTAGTAAAATTTTTATTAAATAAATTTGATTAGGTTTTTAATTTTTTTAAAAATTTATGTTTTCTTACAGATTCCTCTCAGCAATAAAAAGGGGAAAGAGGGGTAAAAAACAAATTTTTGTCCCTGCAAATCTTATAATAAAACTGGTTTTAGCCATTTCTAGGTAAAAAGCAAAGTAAATTAATTTTTACGTGGATATGGAAATTCAAAAAAATATTTACAAAAGTCTTTCTGTAAAACAGTATTGTACACACATTTGTTTTTAAAAAATTTCGCATACAGATTAAGCGTACTTTACCTTCTTACATTAGTTTTGCAGATTAAAGCTTTATCCAAACAAAAGAAAATCAAAATAAAGATGGTGTATGAACAAATAGAAAATTTTCTACATAATACTCTAAGGAGTTGTTAACAATTCTTTTGCAAGTTTTGTTTGGGTATTTTATCGTTACCATAAAGGTTATTAAGTATGAAGAAATGTACTATACGGGGTTGTAAAAAATAATTTGTTTTTATTATAAATTTTTTTTTTCTAAGCAAAACTTTGGTTGCAGATATCGAAAGTTTTTTTCTATTTTTAACAATGCTGACGAAAAATTCCGCCAGCGTATAAAAGTATCTTTTCAAACAAATAACCCCTAAAAATGAAATATTAATCTCAAATTTAATTTAAAATCAAATCATTAAAAGTATTTAACCGTTATTTTTTTTCAGTTTATGTAAAGAATCTTCTTTTAAATCTTCCCAAAGCTTTGTTAATACTTTAATATTTCTATTAAGATTTAAATCTTTAATTTTAGTATTTTTATTGCTATGATACTTACCCACTTTATTTTAATAGTTGCAATTGCGTTCGATTATTATCAATTCTATTAAACTTGGGTGAAGACCCTTAACTTCTTTTTTCAACGAAGAATTAAAACCTTCTGCACTATTATTAGTAAAAGAGATGTCAAGATTTATTCTCTCATATAAATCATTTTTTTTAAAATATCTACACAAATACTAATAATTATAATAATGATTAAAAAAATTGTTAACATTCTTCTGATTTTACAAAAATTTTTTATTTCCCTTACAATTAATTTAAAAATTTTTTCTCTTTCTTCTTCTACAATAAATACAAAACAAAGTAAACATTCAATAAAAAGTCTAAATTCTTTATCTTCTCAATAAGATTTAATCAATCACAGTGCTTTTAATTTACGATATACTGCCTGAGAGGAATGAAAAAGACAATCTTACCGCAAATTTTTAAATTTTTATCTTATAGCATTCTCAATTAATAATTAAAAACCAATAATTATATTATCTATATTATCTATGCCAGCATAATCATCGCACAAAATGTCTAAAACTGATTTATAAGCAGATTGACTTTTATCATGAACAAAAAAATATGCAAAAGATAAAGTTCAAATTTGACAACAATAAAAAATATTAAGAGCTGGTAAAATTCTTTTAGACAGGTAAAAGAAAGTACTATTAAATATATAAGTTTTATGTTTTTTTAATTCTAAAATATTTTTTTATGTCCAAAAGTCCAATCATTGGATGTTTTGAAATAAAATAATTGTCAAAATCAATATGCTTAGTATCTGATCGGAAAAGACATAGCTCATCGGGTATTTCACAGGCAAAAAAAAAACACAAATTTAGTTTCGGTTTGTAATTTCTAGTTATTCTTTTTTAATTATTAATAAAAGGGATCTTTTGTCATTCTAAATCATCTAGAAGCGTAGAAGATATACAAATAGTATCATTTGTCGTTTTCCTGTTAATTGTTAATTCTATTTGTATTTCTTCTCTAAAAACAGACGTTAATTACTGGTGGACAAAGGCTGCTATAGTTGTATTTTTTCTCTTCAGAGATAACATTATTTGCAATTGCAACCCCGTAACTTTTATTACAGTTTTTAATAAAACAAGACATTGTAATTTTGTGTTTGCCTGTGTATTTTTTATAATATTTAAATCCTATAAATATTATTGTGGTGATCGGCAAAATGCTTGTTTAAAAAGGAGTTTTTATTAAATCCCATATTTATTTATTTAACTTTTCCTTTTATAATTGTCTTTAAAAAAAGTTTTGAGTTTAAAACCTGGTGTAGGAAGTAAGTTTCAGCGATCAAACGTGAAAGAAGAGGGATGAGAATAGAACTATTGTTGTGGTAGAATACCACAATTGTTATTTCTCTTCCCTTTTCACTCATAACTACAAATAATTCATAATTTTGCGTCATAATTATAGATTAGTATTTCATTTTTAAGGGCTATTTTTTTAAAAACATTATCTTATAAGCTGCCGAAAAATGCCGCGGTAGCGGAATATTTAAGAAACCAATTTTTACACTTTTTTAGTATAAAGTATGTTAGTTTGATTTCAAGAATAAAACACTCTACACAAATATTTGTATAATATTTCAAATTTAGATTAAAAGTTTAAATTTAATTAAAAATTTAATTTATATTTTCTTTTGATGCATCTTTTTTTAGTTAAGATGGTTATTAGCACACGAAGAGCCTTATTCTATCCTTTAAGTATCATAAAGCTATTTTTAATTTATCTATATAAAATTCACTAAAATTTAAGCCCTAATGAGAAACGAATCCTTAATTAAAGGTTTACTGCTACTAATATTAGGTATTTTGCTATTTATTTTATTATACAAAAGTAAAAAAAAAGATAGTCTTTCCAGATCTACTTTTTTAAATGAAGATTTAGTTAATAAAATAAATGATAGTATAAAACCATATTTCAACTATAATCTAATTAACGAATTAGAGACTTTCCTACAAGAAAAAAATGGAGAAAATATTGTTAAACAAAATAATCAAGCAGACGCAACAAAATTTTATTCAAAAAAAGAAGTATTATATATTGATTTAAATTGCGAATATGGTCATCTGTCAGCTAATCATAATTTTGTTACA